CCCTAAATGAAAGCTCTTCATGGCATTTTGACAGTTTGAAAAAGCTGTTTTGACATATTTACAAAAAAAAGGTAAAAAAATGTTTGGTGGTTGCATTTTCTTTAAAACGATGCACCAATTTTTGGAACTTCTACTTCCCAAAAATAAATAAATCGAATCTAGAAACAAGTTTTCAGTTTATATTGTAAGGTTTGAAGGCATATTTAACCTTCATGCAACATGAAAAAAAAAATTCATGTTGCATGAAAAAATTTGGACCATTTTTCTGGCAATCCACTTCCCAGAATTTCTTTGTTCTTTTCTGAAAAAAAATGTTAATTTTAAATTTTATTTAATAATCATTACTGGCGGCACTAACCAAAGTCCAGCACTTCCTCCGGTTGCTAGCAATTATTGTAGAAAGTATTGCTATTTGCTTTTTTCTTATTTCAAGTATATTTTTTCGGTGCATTGCACGACATTTACGATATTCAGAAATTGCTTTCTTTCTATTATTAATAATTTCACACACATTATATATTATGTTTTTTAAATTTTCTGCGTTTTCCATTTTAAAATATATATTTTACACAATACCAAAATTTTTCTTTGTGTTTTATTTGTAAACAAAAGAAAGTTCTTTTATAGCTTTTTTGACATATAAAAGTTCTAAAAGCTGTATAAATGAGCTCATTATTATGTGAACGGTTCCTCATTTATATAAATGAGCAAGTGCCTAAATGAGATAGTGCGAACCTGGTATAACAAATTTCTATACAAAAGTTCATTTTAAGTTATTATTACGACACTTGGGACTGACAGCACTATTAATCAAATTTGTACTAATCTGAGAATCACCGAAATAGTTGATTCTCTGCTTAGTTTAATTTTTGTGTGCAAATTTTTGTAGTAATCAACTACTAAGGTCGTGTGCGAGTTAGGCTAAGTTGCGTTCTAAATGAGGAAATTCTAAGTTGTGCCGATAATATAGTGATGTGTCGATACGTGTTGATAAATGGCAAATTATGTGCAGTGCAAAATATCCCAAAAAATCTCCCATTTGATTTAGCATCAACTTAGCCTAACTCGCACACGTCCTAAGCAACTAATCAGTTGCCTGAATACCCCTAATATATTTTAACAGGTGCTTAATTTTAAATTGTTTTTCAATATGTTTCAAAGTTGTCACATACATATACTTCAACCACCAAAAAGAAACCAGAATGTCAGAAAATTATCAAAAAAAACAGTGTTGTCAATTTGCCGGTTTCTCTACCCATCTTGTCAATTCCTACATATATATATAAATGATTTAATATATCAAAGTTTATATCCTTTTTAATTATACTTTCATCACGTACTCTTAAAAATTCTTGTATATATTTGAAATATTTATTTTTCACACTTTTGCATTTTTTTAAAACATTTCATTTCAAAAATCTTCAAATTTGTGAAACATTTTAATTATGCTTGAATTTTTGTTTACCATTTTTTGACATACAACTGAAATATTCGTTGAAATTTCCAATGAAGGTTCACAATAGTTCGCTTATTGCGTTGGTAACACTTTTTTTCTCTAGTTGCTAAGTTTGCCCACTTCTTAACTAGGTGCTTAGATAGAATAAGTAGCGTTGTTGTTTTTTGTATATTTTAGAAACTTTAAACGAGCAGCTTGCTGTTTTTTTTCCACACTTAAAAGCTTCCGAAAGTATCTTATATACCAAAATCGTGTTGGAATAAAAGAAATGTTCGGTGTTTTAGCAATTAACGGATTTTAATCATTTTATATTTTTATAACTTTAAATGCTTTACACATGCAAACAAAACTCAACATCATAAGTCTGCCAATTGTCCTCTTTATTCTAATTTAATTTTAATTATAGTATATCTTAAAATTTTATATAATTTTTATAATAATTTGATTATAAAAACATTTTATGTTGATTTCAACAAGTGGCAGGATCAAATAATAATCATCTTTAATCGTATTGGCAACACAAAAAAAACGGGGAAAAATTAGCGTCTTTAGTTCTCAAATTTGTATTTGTGCGAAATTTGTCAATTTTTGTTTCGGATATATTGATAGTTTGTATTTTAGATTCAAATGGTGTTGGTTTAATAACTCTAAAAGGTGATTTATGAAATTTTACACATGAATCTGCAGGAATTGGAGCGCTCAAATTTTGAGCGCGTCTTGGAATGGTCGCAATTTTTTGACGTAAGTA